AGATTGAATAATATTAGATTGTAACTGTCATTTAAATATTTTTGAGCCGAATGAAAAAGTTTTTGCGAGTTGCGTTGTTCAAAGTAAAAGCTTGAAATTCAAGACTAAACGTTGAACTAAACAAAAGTTTATTTATCCTAAACTATGATTAATTGTACAAATTCGGAAATGGATGATATGCACTTCATCTATGGTCTTGCAAATGGAAATACAGTTGAAACCAGGCTTTTTTAGTTGGAAACATATCCAAATCGCGTCATACCTGACCGCTGAATATTCTCAGCTATTCACCGTCGCCTTGCAGATTCTGGTACTTTTAAAAAAAATACCAAAGATGGCGGCAGGCCTCGAATTGTTGGGACACCACAAATAAAAGAAACAATTTTAGAAGAAATAGAAAATCATCCAAAAACCAGCACCAGACAAATTTCCAGAACCCTGAACATTAGCCACCAAACTGTTTGACGTATTTTACATTCAAAGGGTACTGCTTCCGCGCCGATTTTCCTTTGAGGATAACTGTACCTTCAAAGGCTGCTGGTAAATTCTAATTTTAATCGTGAAATCCTGTTCATTGATGAGGCAAGCTTCTCAAGGGATGCAATTATATATTTTCACAACAACCACATGGCATAGTAGAAACACATTTCCAAAAACAGTTCTTCCTAAATGTTTGGGGTGGTATACTTGACGGCCATCTCATAAGACCTTTCTTTTTGTCCGACCAACTAGATAGAAACTCATACAGAGATTTTCTACAATATAAATTGCCTTTGCTACTTGAAAACGTACCAATTTTGCTAAGGAATCGTATATGGTTCATGCATGATGGTGCTCCATCACATTTTTCTCACAAGAATTTTTAAATAAAGTGTATCCTAACAGATGGATACGTCGGGGCGGACCACAGCCATGGCCTCCTAGGTTACCTGACTTAAAAGTTTAATTTTTTCTTGTAAGGGTATCTTAAAGCTTTAGTATATGAAACGCCAGTAAATAAGTGGAGGATTTAAGAAATAGAATAATTAATAGATTTGAAACAATCAGAAATACTTGGTATTTATGTTATAAATATTTCTCTAAACTGTATGTTGTCAACTAACTATATGTTATAAATGTTACTTTTTTCAAAAAGTATGCCATATTGAAAAAATTCAAGAAACAAAAAGTTGTTTTTAATTTTTTAATTTAAAAAAATTAGTATAAAATACAGTTACGTATTGTTTTTTTTTTTTTTTTTTTTTGAAAATATCAACTATTTTAAATTCGGGAAAACTACGTTAATTAATAACTCAAATATAATTATGTAGATCTAAATAAGGCTCCTACTACTACTACAAACAAATATAAAAGCTGCTGGAGGTGTTCTGATATTTTTGGAAAACAAATTCGTCACTTTTTATTTTGTACCTCTCTGTTTTTCAAAAATATTCTTGGCTTCTTTTTTAAGAAAAAAAATTAAAAGCGTTTAATAGCACACGAGTTTGACCATTTTTATTCGTTTACAGGGTTTTCAATAGGCGATAACACCCTCTGAACGAGAAGTGCACTTTTAAAAGAAAAACTTACTCAGACTTTTCCATTGAGATAACCAGCATAATTTTCAGACAATTTTAAATTTTTTTTTGTTGTAGTGGCGTGCAATCATAGTGTTTTTGTTTTTTATCTCGATAAAAATGCAAAAAAATTAAAAAACTCAAAATACAAGAAAGTTGGGTTTTTAATTGAATAATTCAGAAAACAAAGAGAAAATATGGAAAAACACAGTGCCGTGCTTTTTTTGTCAAAAATATCAATAAGGTTGTCTTTGGGTACTGCACTGTAATTAATAATTTCGATGTAATCAATTCTAAATCAGCCTCTTACTCAAACAAACAAATGAACCATATTTCATCAAAATCGGCAAAAGTGTATTTATGATATTGAAAAACTGATTATTTTTGAAAATTTGAACACCCTGTATCTACGAAATAAAGCAATTTTGGATACATGTTTATATGAACTTTAAGTCATAATATGAGTCAATGAATTACCTTCTTCAAATATGACATGATGTTTAGGAACACCTTGTATTGAATACATTAAGGCAACCAAATGTCCAGCTATAACATTTTGAGATATACACAGGCATTTGACTGCAGCAATCATATTTAATTAACCTGGTTTGAAAATACTGATACTTATATCAGTATTTACTGCTTTAAATTGGTTAAAAGCATTTTTTAAAACGGAAAACAATATTGTCTATTAGTATACCACATACATACATAACTAGTTCCAATTATTGGCAATTAATCACGAGAGTACTCTCAAAGCTCCATATTATTTGTGTATAATAATACTATTATATTTGTGTATAATACTGTTACATAAATAATCTTGATTTAAGTATAAAAGATCATCATATTTTCCATCGTAGTTTCAGCGAAAGAGACTGACTTAATTAATTAACTTTCTCACGTTACTAATGACATTTTTCCTTACGTTAACGAGATAGATAATATAAAACAAGATTTTGCCATTGACATTACCTAATAACGTTAAGAATTTTAAGAAATAATTGGATATACGGGGTAATAATTTAAAAACTGTTACTATAGGGAGCTTATGAACTAAAGATAATATCAGAAAAGGAAAAATAATAAACATAATTTATTTTGTACTCCTGAACTAGAAATATTTAAAAATATTTAAATCAGATAAACAGATAATCTTCTTTTTAATTATTATTGGGTATATTTTATACACATATTGGAAACGCATGTTTACCAGCTTTCCAATTAGGGGGATGCAATTTGTTTTGTTGAGGTAGGTGGCGCATAAGGGCTTGACAGATGTGAGTTCTGTATTTTGTTCTTAAAATTCCTCTCTTCTTATCGTAGAATCGGTTTTAAGCGGTTTATAATAATTATCACCTTTAGTTTATGATTTAAAGTTATTTTGAAATTTTTACCGAAGCTTTTTTAAAGAATAATTTATAAACAATCTTTTGTTGATTCATGTAAACCTTTATTATAAAAAATTCTTGTTCCCTGCATCTACATATACAGTGTGTATACTTAAGTTGGCACCACTAAGGAAACTTTTTTAATATTAGTTTTATGCAAATAAATTAGTCTTCATAATAACTTTTACATGGTCTAAAATTTAAAAATACGTAAGAAGTTTATCGAAAGAGTTGATTAGAATTAAAAGCTACAGTAACCTATCCATTTCTAATATTTTATAAACTATAATTATTGTTTTGACGATTACTGTCAAAAATTTGTTAGTGCATCCTAGACTAAATAAATATCAATTTAATTTATTTTTTCTACGGTCATGCAAAAAATAAAACTTTATTGAACTATATTTAGTGAAAAAACTGGTTCTTTATTGCACTAGTGCAATTAAAATTGTATTGCACTCATCTGTCATTTTACTACAGCGTTTTATAATCATGACAAACAAATATTTAAATCGACACCAAATATTTAGTCCATTTTCATTTTCTGTGAGATTGTATTACGTTTTAAGAACAATTGCATATTTTATATTATTTTCAATTATTTAATAAATAAATTAATAAAAAATGTATTTTCTTAACATAGTTATAGTACTTTTTCAATGTTAATCCATGCTAATTATTAGTTATTACATATTTTGCTATTAAATTACGCTTTTTATTCTTCTGCATTTAGTGTCGCCTAAATAAAACATTTTTTTGGTTTTTTTCATGAACGTAAAAAAAATATTGTATGCAACTCGACATGTTGTAAATTTTGCGTCGCGTGCAATAAACACTATTTGCACTTGTTGCATAAATAACTATTATAAATATCCAACTAATGTTTTGACGTTTACTGTGTTTATTTTATTTTTTCTTACATTTTAAATATCATTTTGTAGACACAAATTATCAGTAGTAATACAAAAAAGAGTTTATAAAAATAAACAAAATTTGTTTTTGATGCTAGAAAAATTAAATTGGATATCCAATCGTAGTTTGCAATTTTTATAAACTTTCCTCAGTAACAATTTTCGATATTGTTAGTAATCAACCTAGATAGGTACTTTACTTTAGCATAAAATTTTTATTTTCGACAAACCTCGTACATGACTGAAAAAATGTAATATTTGATGATTGTATTCATTAATAGATAGGCACAATTTTTAAATTGATATCGGTTTACATGGTTATTGCAAGAGACAAACTGAACATAATATCATATACCATTAACCCCTTTAGAAACTGGGTTGTCATCTCCTACTTTCCAAAAAGGGCTCAAAACTGAAAGGGTTAAGAACGGGACTTTTCTAGCTAATAATAATAATAATAATATTAATTAAGACATAAAATTTTAAAAATATTAATAGAAGTAAAAGTTTTGTTCATATTTCCCAAATATTCACAAATAATTAAAAAATTCATTGGTGGAGCCACTAGGGGATGACTTATCAAATTATTTTTACTGGGCATTGAGATATCATAAGTCACATTTTTAGAGCTTAGAATAGACTGGAAATATGTATCTACACATACAATTTAAGCCATCCATAGCCAACTCGTGTAGCTGGTAAAATTGGATATGATTTAAAAAATTAGCCAGCGTTGGCGTCACTGTGTCTTCAATAATTTCAATTAAAATCTTTTTTTTGGTACATGATTTTTAGGTACTTTTTAGGGAACTAAATGACCTATTTTAAAAAAAATTTTATGTTAATAATTTTACTGACGAATCCAAAACACTGATTTAAGTATAAAAATAAAGTTGATAGTCAATATTTTTAAATTAGGTTATAACTTGCTAACTAATGTTAAAACAAATAAAAAATGCTTTACAAGCATATTACCAATCAAAACGAAAATAAAGAACCAATATCCAAAAGATTTTTTTAAATCGAATTATTTAAGTAAAAATTATCATCTTTACCAATATTAATAATAATATTAATCCCAAATACAAAACCATTACAAAAACTATGCAATTAAAATCCACATCGACACTCATTGAACTCACTTCACTTTCACGTTCGACTGACCAACTCCTGACCAACAACTGACCAGTCCCAGTTCTTTCTAAAGTCAATCACCAACTGAGGTCCACTTCTGCAATTTTACAAACAACTATCACTTTCACATAGAACCAAACAGGTAGTTCAAATCAAACTGTATCAAGATTTAGTTAAATAATTCGCCTCACTTTTTCGTAGGTCGTTACTTCTTTGTTTCTTATTTCGATAATTTCTTAGTGATCTAGACACGGCTATTCGATGATGAATAAGAGGCTTTCTTCGAGAGTGTTTTGTTATAAGGATGTAGGTTTGTACAAGCTCTGTGAGCACCGGTGCAGCGGTGGCGGTATAATTCGTTGAAGGAGGAGTTGATAATTACAGTGATTTAGGAGTATAAATATGATCGATTATACTATTCTCCCAGTTACTCCAATTACATATACAGTATGATGCAAATTTATTAATATTAATAATTAACGTGAGCTGAAAACCGATGATGCTCATGTTATTCAAAAATGTAATTATAAATAGATATTTTTTTTATCTATAAACTATAAAATATAAACCATTGTTACAAAAAATAAAATAGAAAGACATTAAATAACATAAGGATATAATATGAATTTATTTTAATTTGCTGTAAATATACTTTTTTTTCGCTTGTCTTCCTCAATCATTACTATATGTAGTGTCGTATTTCTACCCAAGTCGGTACAATGTTTAAATAAAATGAGTTACTAATATTCTTATCGCTAGCTAGCTGATGTAGGTTATTTGTTGCCCATTTTTCACGCAAGCCGTTTTTACTATACGATTAATTAATAGAACTAGGCTTCGGAAAACCAAAGACTTTAATGTTGCAAGTAGCTAAAGAGTTGAAATAAGGGTGTAAACTTCTAAGGAAAAATCGAGTTTTGCCCAATTTTCCACACAAGCTCATCGAATATATGAAAACTTACGTCGTCACTAGTCCAAAAAACATATTTTCTTGAATGACCCGAATGTATAAGTATATTTTGGGGTCGAAAAATTTTTCTGATAAGGAAAATCGAATTTTCCATGTGTTATCCCCAAGAGCCACTCTGTGGTGCTCGCGTCCTGTTTGATGAGCCCACAAAGAACTTAACAGATTTGTTTATGACATTTTAGTTGTTTTTTCATGTTTGACGTTTTATGTCATTATTTTTACTTTTTGGTTATATGCAATGTTTTGGAGTGACAACCATCTGGTCTCTTCTTTTTTAATAACGTCACCGTTGTTAATTAAGATATGTGTTTTCTTTTGTAAACCTTTACAGGATTTTCTGGATGAAAAGAAGACTCAAGTAGGCGGATTTGGAACGCAGTATAAAAGGACCGCCGTTGCTATGCTGCGGGGAGATCATTATAAACATTTCATCGATCGGTTTAATTTTTATATATTTCGAAAGTGTCTATTCTTTTTATATATATATGTATTAAATAAAATTTTTAAAAAATTATTTTTTTTTTAGTTTTAAATTTAGTGGACCAACCAACGGGACCACTAAATATTGGTGACCCCGACGAAGGACAAAGGATATCCCGACGAAACACAATCCCGACGAAATAACATCCCAGCAGAGGACAAACAACATCCCGACGAAAGAACATCCCAGCAGAGGACAAACAACATCCCGACGAAGGACAAAGGACATCCCGACGAAGGACAAACAACACCCCGACGAAGGACAAAGGACATCCCGACGAAGAACGAAGGACATTTCCCCAAGCGGAACACTTTCAAGACCGACATAGAGCACAACTACAGCATAGCAACGGCAAAGGAAGCGAAATTCTCACGGATCATCGTGTGGAGGTTTCTAAAAGGAATCTGATCGGTGAGCCATTTGATTTGTCCCTCGCATTTCATTGCATATAATTTGTCCTTTTTCTATTTATTGCCTAAATTATTGCTTATACAATGTCCGAACCAAATAACTCTACTGCTGAGGGTATCGATTCAATAGAAAATTTAAGAAATATCAAACTTCCAGCTTTCTGGTCATCCAAACCAGAACTTTGGTTTAAACAGCTTGAAAGCCAATTTTTTATTTATAACGTCAAAGCTGACAAAAGCAAATACCATGTCACTGTGGCGCACTTACCGCCAGATATTTTCAGCGAGGTCTACGACGTAATTACTAACCTCCAGTTAATGATCTATATGATTTTTTAAAAGATTCCATCCTCAGTAGGTTAACACTATGAAAATGTAACTACGAATGAACTTTTCAATGAAATAATAAAAAGCAGAACTGATCTCTTAAATGAAGTTAGCAAAAGCAAAGCTGATCTTATTAGCGTTATAGAAGCTTCAGAAGCAAGATTACTTCTTGAATTGGAAGAATTAAGAAACAGAGTGCTACAACTAGAGAAGAAAAACAAATTTTTAGAAGAAGAAATTGAAATCAAACAACGTTGGGAGAAAAAAAATAACATTTTAATTTTTGGCCTAAACACTTCTTCCACGAACGTGACAGTCGAAAAGGTATGTGAAGATCTAAACACTCTTCTAGATATCTCACTCCAACCAAGGGACATTAATTGTACATATAAATTGGGAGCAGCCGCAAATAAGCCATTGAAAGTGGAATTTGTAAATTACTGGATTAAGCAACGTATTTATAAAAACTGTTACAAGCTTAAAGGGAAAAATATTAGTGTTGTAGACGACCAAACACTCAAACAAAGACAAGACGCAAAAATACTTAGAAAACATCTATTACTTGCCAAGCAAGAGAACGGAACGAACTGTTTTATTAAAAAAGGAAAATTGCATGTCGACGGCATTGTTTATGAAGTAACAGACTTAGAGGAAGTCTTAGAAGATTCTAAAGACTCGCAGAATAAGAAGTCAAACAGTGCGCCTCCAACTCCTTCTGTACCATTGAGGAAGGAATCAGTAGATGAAGTTTTTAAAGAAACAGACGCTAAACCAACAACTACTGTTAAACCTCCTACCACAGTAACTCCAGTTGGACGTAACGGATCTACGGGACAAGGAAGGAAACCTTCGACCCGTCATCAGGCCCAACAAGTTGCAGATTCCAGGACAACCAGAAATCGTACCAATAATAAGTGACGCTTAGTCTTAAGTATGTATGAACCTATTTCTATTTATAGTTGAAATTTTAAATTGTTTATTTTCCGAAATTATTTTTTTTGTATTGTTCCGTCTTCTTTATATATATTCTGATCTAATTTTTTTTTTGTATATTTCCCTACATAGTGGCATTTTATTAGAGTAACCAATATTCTATTTTGGAGTTTATTGATTCTGTTTTAGCGGTTATTCATTCTATTTTAGAGTTTATTAATTATAATTAAGCGTTTATTGATTTTATTCAAATTAATCTTAAAACACAATTGATTGTTAGAAAAGTATTAAAGTAAGATAATACATAAAAAAAAAAACAACAATAAATTGGTAAACAAAAATGGATCCGTATATTCGAGACGTAAATTATGAATCTTATGATACCGTAGAATTTAAAAGTGTAGATGAAATAAATAATTATTATAAAAATGTTAAAACTTGTATGTTTAAATTATTCCATCAGAATATATGTAGCATTAATAAGAATATAGATGAGTTGAAAATATTTCTATCACGGTTAAATCATGATTTCGATTTTATTGTTTTAACGGAAACACTAAAAATACCAGACTTAAATACATTTCAGCTAACAGATTACAATATAATATATAATGAGGGAGATATAAATCGTAATGATGGAGTGGTAATATTTGTAAAAAAAAACTTAATAATTAACTCTGATATAATCCAAATAGGACAGTGTAAAGCAATAAGATCAATAATTCATTTAGAAAATAAAAATAAACTTGTTATAACATCACTTTACAAACCACCACCCATCAAGGAGGAAGAATTTGTTGATAACCTTTGGACATATCTGGAAGAAACAAAAAACAACCTAAAAAATCATAAACATATCTTTGTAGGAGACATTAATATAAATATAAAACAAAATACTGATTTAGTCTCCTCCTATTTATATACGCTAGGAGAATTTAATTTTGTATCTCTGATAAATAAATATACACGAGAAAAGGGACCCTCAAAAAGTTGTTTAGATCACATTTTTTATAGTTACAATGCACCTACCTTAGACAATTATACGGCAGCAATTTTTGATACACAAATAACAGACCATAAAGCTACTATTGCATATTTTCCTCTAAAAGTTGATGTGTGTCCAAAAACGTCATTTGTTAAAAAAATTAATTACGATAAACTGAAACTAGAATTAGGTAATCAAAATTGGGAAACTTATAGAAAATGTAAATGAAAAAGTTAAGTACTTAACAGAAACTCTAAATTTACTTTTAGAAAACAATACAAAATTAATAAAACAGAAAGACCACCATAAAAAAAGAAAACAATGGATAACAGAAGGAATTATAAAGTCAATAAAACAAAAAAACCTTTTATACAGTATTCATAAAAAGAATTTTGATGACGTTGAAAAAAAAATGCAATATTTAAATTATAGAACACTTACAGATAAATTAATTAAACAAGTTAAAAAAGATTTTTACACCAAACAAATAAATGAAAATAAAACTAGTTCGAAAAGGTTATGGGACACTTTAAAACAAATACAAGGAGATAGTAGAAGTAATAGAGAAATACGTGAAATAACTACAGATGAAGGGAAAAATATTACAGACGCAAAAGATACAGCTTATACAACTTATAGAAAATGTAAATGAAAAAGTTAAGTACTTAACAGAAACTCTAAATTTACTTTTAGAAAACAATACAAAATTAATAAAACAAAAAGACCACCATAAAAAAAGAAAACAATGGATAACAGAAGGAATTATAAAGTCAATAAAACAAAGAAACCTTTTATACAGTATTCATAAAAAGAATTTTGATGACGTTGAAAAAAAAATGCAATATTTAAATTATAGAACACTTACAGATAAATTAATTAAACAAGTTAAAAAAGATTTTTACACCAAACAAATAAATGAAAATAAAACTAGTTCGAAAAGGTTATGGGACACTTTAAAACAAATACAAGGAGATAGTAGAAGTAATAGAGAAATACGTGAAATAACTACAGATGAAGGGAAAAATATTACAGACGCAAAAGATACAGCAGAAAGATTTAATAAATTTTTTTCAGAAATAGGCACATCACTTGCAAATAAAATAGATGACCCAAACTCACCATCTCCGGTCAGAAATATTCACAAAAATTCTTTTGCGCTACTACCAGTAACTGAAAAAGAAATAAATAATATCATTA